TAAAAGCTTTCAGGCTGTTTTGTTTCTTTTCTGAGGCAAAATATGGCCTTTTATTGCTTAAAACCCTCTCTGAATTTTCTACCGAATTCTACAGTAATGAAGAGAGATGAGTGATTCGTTCTTTATTGCAAATCTAAGTTGAAGCCAGCTCTACAGACTGGTACCTGAAACAAGAGAAAAGACTTCTTCAGAAGAGAGATATTAACAATCAAACGTTCGATACATTTTTTTGGGACACCCTGTATTAGGTTGGTTCATAACTAGCGTTTGAAAGAAGAGGTAGGAAAAACGTGCACTAAACGTTTTTCCTACCTCTTCTTTCAAACGCTAGTTTTCAATCAAAAATCGTTTTTCTCCAAGACCATCTGAACTATCGGAAAGCCCGTTTCTTCTATTTTCTGATATATACTTTTGTTTTTGGAGGTCTTTGTTCAGAGGGAAGTTCCGTGCCTTCAAAGGTGAGGAACTCAAACTTGAAATTTTTTCCTTTCGTTCGACTTGCCCTATCCATGAAAAATGCCCAAATTTGTTTCAAAAATATATGTTACTAGCTGGCTTACCCGGCTCCGCCGTATCCGGACCAAACTTGGCACACATACACTTCGGGCCCCGGCGCGTGTCACAGTCCACTTTTCGTTATCGATCGATGTCGATTTTACCGATTTTTATCGATTTTTTCGCAGAGTTCACCTACAGGGCTAGGAGTTGGCACAGGGGGGAAGTGAGCATGGGGATTCCGAATACAATATTAGTTTTCAGAATTATCGGTTACTTTTATTGATTTTATCGATTTTTTGGCAGAGTTCACCTACAGGGCTAGGAGTTGGCACAGGGGGGAAGTGAGCATGGGGATTCCGAATACAATATTAGTTTTCAGGATCGTCCATTACTTTTATCGATTTTATCGATCTTTTTGCAAAGTTTGACCTGCGGGGCTGGGAGTTTGCACAGAGGGTAATCGAGCATGCAGATTACGAATACAATATTAGTTTTCAAGATCGTCCATTACTTTTATCGATTTTATCGATTTTTTGAAAATTTGAGCTAGGGGGCTGGAATTTGGCACAGGGGTGTTCGAGCATGCTGATCACCCCCCTTGGGGATGATCAGCATGCTCGATTACCCCCCCGTGCCAACTCCCAGCCCCCTAGCTCAAACTTTGCAAAAAAATCGATAAAATCGATAAAAGTAATCGATAATCCTGAAAACCAATATTGTATTCGGAATTCCCATGCTCGATTACCCCCCTGTGCGAACTCCCAGCCCCGTAGCTCAAACTTTGCAAAAAAATCGATAAAATCGATAAAAGTAATCGATAATCCTGAAAACCAATATTGTATTCGGAATCCCCATGCTCGATTACCCCCCTGTGCCAACTCCCAGCCCCGTAGCTCAAACTTTGCAAAAAAATCGATAAAATCGATAAAAGTAATCGATAATCCTGAAAACCAATATTGTATTCGGAATCCCCATGCTCGATTACCCCCCTGTGCCAACTCCCAGCCCCGTAGGTGAACTCAGCAAAAAAATCGATAAAAATCGATAAAATCGATATCGATCGATGACGAAAAGTAGCCTATGACACCCGCCGGGGCCCGTAGTGTATGTGTGCCAAGTTTGGTCCGGATCGGTTCAGAAATGGAATTTTCTATTCGGAACATACGTACACACAGACAGACATACAGACATACATACATACATACATACATACATACAAACAGACATTCAGCTTTATATATAAGATAATCGCGAAAATTTGGGCTACAGAATGCTCACCAAGGCTAAATTTTTTGAAAATCCTGATCCGAGAAACTTTGACTCAAACTTAGCTGAATGGGATCACCTGGAGCTTTATAAAATCCTTACGTGAAAAGCACATACAGAATTTTCACGTGGTTCTGGTAAAGTAGACCAAGGACTACTAATGATAGGAAACGGCAGAATCTCTTCGTATTCCAAATGAGAAAAAATTGGAGGAATTCAAATATTACAGTTTTTTGCCTTTTCTAAAATGCAGGAGAAATTGGTACTTTTGCATTCCTGGCAATATTTTTTTCGCAGAAAATTTTCGGCAAAAGCCAAATTTTACGCTGCTGTTGAATCGACCATTGGCTACACAATGAGCAAAGTTTGCTCCGTTCTAGTCCTTTGGGAGTAAGTTATGCTCTTTCAAACTAGAGCTTTTCAGAAAAAATTCTCGGTAATTTTTGAGCCGGAGAATCTTTTTCGTGGTGAGTACAATCACACAAAAGCATACATTGTATAGCTAAAAGTTTGCTGTTTACAACAATTTTTGATGCGCTCAGAAAGATTGTTTTGTAAAAGAATTATCTACAATAGAAGTGGAAGTTGAGAAAACGTGCATTAATTATAAACCAACGTAATATCTGCTCTCTCGTGATATATGCAGAAACTGGTTTCCTTTTTCCCCATCAGTCTCAATTGAACTGTGACTCATTTTGAAGAAGTTTCTAAGAAGGTAGTGAGTCATACTTGAGACCGCCACTTTGCCATTCCTTAAGATGGCCAGTTGAACAGACAGAAGACCGTTTAGTCAAGTGCCACCCTCAGTTCAACTTTTTAAATAAGTTCGTCTTCAATAAGTTGAAGGTAGGTTTTAGGTTGAACCGGAAATTCAGAGAAAAAAATGTGTGAGTTGCTCGTAGATAACTCAAAAGCAGTTTCAAGGCAAATCTGGAATCCATGACCATAGCACTGAAGGTGGGTCCTAGCGCGGACGTAGTGTTATACAGTGCTGGCCATAGCTATAAAGCCACCCTAAAAATCACCGCAATTTGCTCTCTCTTGCTCATATTTGTCTGAAAAACCACTATTCTGTGCGCAAACTAACGTCATGCCATAGACCAGAACGGCTCCTGATTTCATGGATTTTGGGCGGAGAAAAATTGAAAATTTGAAAAAACGGGTTTCGAAGGCTGGTCACAGCTATAAAGCCACCTCTCAATTGCAATCAGTACTGCGTTTTTTGAACCTCAAATTTTTTGTACATATAGAACATTAAAACATAAAACATTTTTTACACTTGGAAGGGGTCGCCTTTCAAAAAAAGGATTCGTACTGCATTTTTTGCTCTAAAATGCATAATAGGTCACATCATTTGCAAAAAACTGCTTTTTCACTGAATTTTGAAGCACTTGTTTGACTCGGATGAAGGCCCTATGCTTTGCCGAGCCTTTGCAATGAATACGGCGAAAAGCGCTTGAGTTAACATTGCGTAGTCGTTGATATTGATAAACGAGCCCCAACCTCACCTTCAGGTAGACGAGTTTTCGGACCGCAGAAACTGAGTTCTAATGCCCGAAAAGCTCTGTCGCGTGCTCAGCACGTCGCTCACTCGTCAGACTCGTGTGCATAGCCTGTACGTCACGTCACCGCAACTCTGAGGACTCTGATTCCGCTTTGGACGCCTTTTTTCCAAAAATGAGTGGTGCACTCCGTCTGATCATGATCCACTCTAACCACCTCGATCGAGCGGAAAACCGCACAGAAGTTCAAAATCCTTCTATTCCTGACAGTTTAGTAAGATTTGAATTGATGAGGAGTTCAAAGCAGTGAAATTTGAAGTCTTGTGAGATACACTGCGCACAACCGAACTGCAGACAAAGCGTTCTAACTTCATTGCGGCAAATAGGTCTTTGCAAAAAAACCTGGCGGCTTCTGCATGAGTATGTCGCCATGCAGACAAGGTGTCAACTTCCAACCAAAAGTTTTCGCGTGTCAGAAATCTAGTTTTGAGCGTCAGAAGTGCGCTTACACCTCGGTAAGATGAGGCTCCTTTACCAAGATTAGCGACTACGCAATGGTGAGTTCCGCACTGTTCACCTCGTTCATTGCAAAGGCTAAGCAAATCCTAGGACGTTCATCCGAGTCAAACAAGTGCTTCAAAATTTGGTGAAAAAGCAGTTTTTTTGCAAGTATGGGTTATTATGCAATTTAGAGCAAAAAATGCAATACGAATCTTCTTTTTGAAAGGCGACTCCTTTAAAGTGTAAAAATGTTTCATATTTTGATGTTGTATATGTACAAAAAATTTGAGATTTAAAAAACGTAGTACCGATTGAAAATGAAAGGTGGCTTTATAGCTGTGATTAGCCTTCGAACCCGTTTTTTCAAATTTCTAAAGTTTTCTCCGGACAAAATCCATAAAATTGGGAGCCGTTTTGGTCAATGGTATGACGTTAGTTTGCGCACAAAATAGTGGTTTTTCAGACAATTATGAGCAAGAGAGAGTAAATTACGGTGATTTTTAGGGTGGCTTTATAGCTATGGCCAGCATGTAGTGAGCGATGTCGTTTTCGAGTTACGGTTGGGACGCGGGACTTCCTAACCGAGAATGAACTATTTGTTATGCCGCTTGGACAGTGCCCTAGTTAGGTCCCCCTTATCAACTTCCAAACAAAAAATCTATGCGCCCAGATTCTGCCTGAACACTGCCTTTGAGAAACACCTAGACTCACATGTTCGTTTGCGGTAGAAGGCGCAAAACGCACAGTAGCGGAGCCCAAAGAGGGCAGAATCGATAGCATCTGATCATCTGATCTCGTTTTTTGTTTGCAAAGCTTGCTTAGGTTTTTTCGAAAAGCTAATCAGGATGACAATATTATTTTTTATTCTATTCAACTTATGTTCCCACCATTTTGATTCTTCCCAGAAAATTTTTGTAGGAGAATTTTGTTTCAATCCTCTAACTGCGAAATCCTTGATAGGGAATATGTCGATTTTGCGATAGTTATCCGTTATCGAAGACGCGGTGCAGCAAAGGTTTGCCATTAGCCGGTCTCGAACCATGGCAACTCAGCCCTGCCTCAGCCGAGTCGCGCTAAAGGGGGAATTCTTACTGACGGGCCTTTCGTTTGGGAATCTTAAGAGAAAAACGCTGTTGTTATTTTGACTCTCTCTCTCTTTCTCTCTCCCTCTCTCTCTCTCTCTCTCTCTCTCTCTCTCTCTCTCTCTCTCTCTGAACAAATCCATTAACTCACCGTAATGTCTGATGCATAGATACTGGAGATCGCAAACTTGCATGCGTTTTCGAATGGATGAAAAATGAGGCTGTCTTGTTCAGCACTGAAAAGCTGCCAACATTTACTGCATCTATTTACAAAAGTATCGGGTCAAATTGTTTTTATTTGAGTTTAGAAGACTAAAAAATGATTGCTGGAGTTGATAAGTCATTTTTACCTTACTAGCATGAAATAACATTTTCATCAAATTGTTATAAAAAAATTGAAGGACGACCGTGCTAGTCACATGCTCAATATCGAAAGCCAAATCAAGAGAAGTGTTGGGAAATCGCTTGGATTTGGCGCGTTCTCCTCAGAAAAATTCATCATTTTGAGGTGTTCGCGAACAGCAGCTAGAATCGGCAACATAATTACTTAGCGATGCAAAACCCTTCGAGATTCTTCCATAAGGCATTGCATATATACTTGGGTCCGAATCGAATAGAAATTCGATCATTCGAATAAAACATTCGAATGTATTCGTATTCGAAATTTGATATTCGGAGTTCTTCCATTTTCGAATAATATTCGAAACTCGAATAATCAAAAAAACAGGGTTTCGAATAAAATTCGAAAACTCGAATAATCAAAAAACGAGGTGAATATTATTCGAAAACTCGAAGAATCAAAAAACGGGGTTTCGAATAGATTTTATTCGAATGTTTTATTCGAGTGTTTATTCGAATTCGTATTCGAATGACTCCGTATTCAGATTATTCGACTTTGTTGCAAAGCCAACTGCTGAGTATCAAGCTCACTTCGTCCGCGTTTTTTTTTCCGCAAAACTCGGTAATGCATCTTTTGCAACCGTTACACCTTTGAACTGTATGGAGAGCCGCATTCTTCCGACTGCTTGCGACAGTAAAAAAAAATCATATGTGGATTTTAATTGATGTAAAAAGTAGAGCAAGCCCTTTGCTTTTACATTGTTGATGCTGATAAGAAATAAAATCAATTCTGGTGTACATCAGTCTCTTTCAGACCATCTGAAGAAGAATCTTTTGGGCACAGCATTAAAATTTATATCGACTGCTTTTTAGATCGTCCACAATGGATAGAATATGACTTTTTGCTGACGTATAGACTAGATGCCGACCGACCGACATTATCGATTTCTGGAGAACTTTGAGCTGGGGGCTGAGAGTTGGTACAAGGGGGTAAGTGAGGGTGCTGATTATGGATAAAAATTTACTTTATAAATTTTATCGATTTTTGGAAAATCTCGAGCTACAAGGTTGGGAGTTGGTACAAGGAGGTAAGTGAGGGTGCTGATTATGGATAAAAAATTACTTTATCGATTTTATTGATTTTTGGAAAATCTTGAGCTACAAGGTTGGGAGTTGGTACAAGGAGGTAAGTGAGGGTGCTGATTATGGATAAAAAATTACTTTATCGATTTTATCGATTTTTGGAAAATCTTGAGCTACGGGGTGGGAGTTGGTACAGGGGGTAAATGAGGATGCTGATTAAAACCGAAATCTATTTTATCGATTTCAGCAATTTTTGGAAAATTTTGAGCTAGGAGTTGGTATAGGGGATACTAGGGGGCTGAATGATTGGATCGGCTCTAGCCAGATATGTCGGCAAGTTTGAGATGTGATTGCTTTAGTTATTCGATAAATCATTCAATATTTATTCGAAATTCGACTTCCAATGTTCGAATATATTCGATATTCATTCATTCGATATTTTTGATTTTCCGAATTTATTCTAAATTCATTCATTCGATATTTCTAATTTTCCGAATTTATTCGAAATTCATTCATTCGATATTTTTGATTTTCCGAATTTTTTCGATATTCGTTTATTCGAAATTTTTCCTTTTCGAATTTATTCGATATGCATTCATTCGATGAAAAATTCTCGAATTACCCAAGTATAATTGCATATTGACATACCATCAAAATATGGTACGCGGTGAGTGTCGGTTGCAAAAAAGAATCACTGTTGTTTTCGGAAACAGTTTCAAATATTTTGTTTTCCCAAGATTAAAAGGAGCGCACGATGTAGCAAGCAATGAAAGTGTTTTGTTGTGCAATTAGAGCAATAATTTTCTTAGAATGCCGTTTGTGACGAGAATCTTATTTTTCGCAATAAATAGCTGCGCAGATTTTAGAGTACTTGCATGTTACGAGTGATACTGAGGAGATAACAAGGAAATAGCCATTTCTTATAGAAAGTGTGAATAATGGAGGCGTACTTGATTGAGTTACAAAGCCCCCTAACTCCGTTTTAGATCAACGCGAATTCTTTCAGCAAAATGAAAGATGCCTCATTTGTGGGAAAGACAAGCACTTTGACAAATATTGCGAAGGGGGTAGGTATCGCTTTTTCCCCTATGTCCTAATTGTTAGTACAAAAGGAAAGATAGAGCATCTGTCTCCTCATAAAGCGCGTATAACAACCCAAAACTCAGATCGAACAAATGAAAAGGGAGAGAACCAGAGAACAAAATACGAGCGCAAGCTAATTGAAGAGAAGAATGACAATGAGCTTACTCACAAGAGTAAAGGAAATTACGCAAACACGGCATTCCACGCAAAAAAGAGAAAAACCTTCTAAAACTCAAGTTTTTTTTATTAAGAGGAGGTAAGTCGAGCGAGAGATGATCTGTCAAAAGAATGGAAACATGAAATTTTTCTTACTAGGGCTATCAGTCTTTCTTAATGAGAGACTAGCTAATGAGCTAGGTTTTTTGCGCAAAAAATGAAGATGTTTTTGATGTATACGTTCGGTGTGGAAAATCAATGCTTGGGAAACGCGGTGTCACAACACTAGATCTTTGGAATTGAAGTAGAGGAAGACATACATTCAATCATGTATAGCCCTGACAATAATGACTTGGGGAAAAGCTGTGGAACTGACTCCTACAGACATAGGATTTATTCGAAGAACAACATAAACTTAAGAAATATGAATTACAAAGAAGCCTCAAAACCCCAAATATTGTTACGATGCGACCAACTTTGGAAGCTTCTGCATATAGCCTATACTGTATACGCTCCCATCCGAGTCAAGCTAATCCCATCTGAACCAGATATTTATCGATTGGTAAAAAAGACCAGATCAATGTGACAAGAGAAGACATGCGCAACACTTTGTCCCACAGTGGCGATGAACGTTTTTATAAACTTCGAGGAAGAGTTGACAAGGTAGGATAAGTACTGGTCAATAGATTCAGCTGAATAGATTTAGTTGAAATATGCGATTTATTGGCGCAAAAATTGAGGAAAAGGAGGCACTCAATAAAAAGGCCGTAAATTTTTTCAAACAGTGCATTAAAAACTACACTAACGATTACCATATTCGCTTGTCGTAGTAAGGCCCGCAGAGAAAACCTCTCGACAAAAGTCTTGAACGACGAGCATATTTGTTGCACCATTTGCAGCTGCTTTGCCGGCAGCTGCAACATCTAGCTGCGGCAATAGTCGGCTGCTCAAGTATCGCTTGCTAAACACCTGTTTATGCGATATGGCAACGCAGATGTAAAGAACCCAAGCATCTTATTATATAAGGAGATGATACTTGGTTTCCGGCCATTTGGAATGCGATGTATACCATAAGGTGCACCTCGAAACGTTGATTTTAAATCTGTGCTCGAAATGTGCGAAACGATCATTTGAAGGCAGTTATGAGCTTTTTTTCGTAGAAAATTTGCGTGCTTTTAGGTAGTTAAATCACCCAATTTGATCTATTTTACCGTTTGAAGTAATTGGGGAGAATCTTGAAAGGTGTAACGTTGTATTTGTACCTATCTAAACCATATTCAGCATTTGAAGAGGAAAGAAAATTTTTTATTGATTATTTTCACCCTCTGCAGTAGCGCAATTCATTCTTGAAAAAATAATTGTATTAGGTTGATGCATAATTCCTGCACCAAAATAGGTACAGACCGCAATAACTCGGAGTAATCCTACATTCCAAGTAGGATTCGATAGACTATTTGATAGCGCAAGCCTAGCTCTACAAGACGGTGCTCAAATATCTACACCAGCTTTAATCCACGCGAAGTTTTGAGCCAAAAACTGAAAAAAACCATGCGTCCGAAAACCTTAAGACAGATCTTAAAAAAATTGTAACTTCGTTCAAAAAGCTCATACAAATTTTCTTTCTTGCTAACGCGTAGACGTTCCACGTAAGACATTTATCTAAGCGGTTGCTGTATTTTTTTCTCAACTAGGCGATGAAAAAACGAAGTTTTTTGAAGTTTTTCATGTTTTTGCCAAATTAGTGCTGAGATGTTCTAGTATCAACAGTTGTATAGTACATGCCGTTAGCAGTGAAACTTTACATTTTCATCCTTCTAGAACTGCTAGTTCGCGAGAAATAACGAATCTAGCTCTCCTTATCCAAACTTTTCTTGCCTAGTTGCTAAATTCCGATATTTCTCGTAAACCAGCTGCCTCTAAAGAGCTGAAAATTCACATTCACGCTTCTAAGGTCCTATAATATACAACTGTCAGTGCTAGAACATCTCAGCATTGTTTTGGAAAAAACATGAAAAACTTCATTTTTTCATCGGCTAGTTGAGAAAAAAATACAGCAACCGTATAGATAAATGTCTTACGTGGAACGTCTACGCGTGAGCAAGAAAGAAAATTTGTATGAGCTTTTTGAACGAAGTTACAATTTTTTAAGATCTGTCTTAAGATTTTCGGACGCATGGTTTTTTTTCAGTTTTTGGCTCAAAACTTCGCGTGGATTAAAGCTGGTGTATATATTTGAGCACCATCTTGTAGAGCTAGGTTTGCGCTATCAAATGATATATCGAATCCTACTTGGGATATAGGATTACTTCGAGTTATTGCGGTCTGTACCTATTTTGGTGCAGGAATTATGCATCAACCTAATAATTCCATCCAGGCTTTCGTTTCGCAGATATGGAAAACAGTAATAGAACCAGCATCAAAAGGTGCATTTTTTGATATACAAACTATTATGAATGGCCGGGGTCGCCAAGTATCTTTCCCTTCTAGAGAAAACTTCTCGAAGAGTCGCTAAAGGATTGAGAGAGGATCAGAAACATTAAAGGCAGTGGACAGGCAGAATGGGCGCTTCTCGGATTTTGATAGATTTGGGAAGTAGACCCCCCCCCTAAGTACACTATATCCCAAATCCCACCTGCCAATTCATGCGCTAAGTCCTGAAAATGCGCTTCAATAATTCCACTAGCCCCGCCCATTTCCATTGACTGGGGTTGGTGGAGTTTTGAAGCGCATTTTCCAGGACTTAGGCATGAATTGAAGTGGGGGTTGGGATACAGTGTACTTGGGGGGGGGGGTCTGCTTCCTAAATTCACCAAAATCCAAAAAGGGTCCATCCTGCCTCTTCACTGCCTTTAAGCAATAATAAGAACACGCAATTTTTCTCGAGAAAGTTCGCAAGAGTCTGCAAATCTAAGCGGGTCACCGAGTTACATTGCAGCCTCATAATATGAAAGCCTTGCGCTGCCCTTTACGATCCTTTCAAATTTGTTTATGAACTAAATTCTTGATGAATATCATCAAATTGAACTCACTCGTGTGAGTAAATTGAATGCTGGCAGCATTATGCCGGCCCTCCTCAAACATACACGCGGCTTTCAAATAATTTGTTAGGAACACTAAATTTTTTTGATGTTTTTGCATTTGGCCACCATACAGTGTTAAACTTGAGCGGTGACAGGACATTCATGCACGTCAAAAAATGATCACAAACATAAGCGAATTCGTGGCAAGACGCACGACCCCATATTGGGTTGCAATGACATAAAACTTCTCATTCTTTTGCAAACACTTTTCTTCGAGCGGTATGAACAAAATTGTATTTAGATTACTTTCATCTCCCCAACAAGGATTGTTTAAGTTTGATTTTTTCCATCTAAAACTCGTTTGATAAAACCTAGTATCCTACCTATCAAGACTGGTTGTAAAGCTGAAATTGTCCCACTTTGGCAATGGATTTGTGTATCTTGTCTCTGCGTGCTGCCAACCAATCATGGCTATAGTTGTCATTGTGCACATCACTATCTGAAGCGTATTTTAGTTTCAGAAAGAACAGAACTAACGTAATTTCACTGGTACAGGAATCACTTATTGCTTTGCCAAATGCAAGCAGTTCCACCTTATTGCTGGGCTTCACGACGGTCGCCCTTCCACGCAATATTTTTATTTTTTTGGTAAGGTGCAGCACGAAAAGTTCTTTGATCGCAAAAACCCTTGGAGTGTTTAGGTTGTTTGAGTTCAATGGAATTAAGCGCCTTGGAACCTGCCTTGGAACTCGTGAGGTTGGGGTAAAAATATTTGTATTACTTTTGCTTGATACAGTGATTTTTCGGTCGCACTATTGCAAAAAAGTCAAAAATTCGGTAAGTTCGGAGACAGTTCGGAAACTGCCTACAAAATAGTGAATGACAAAAAGAAATTCTAAGGCCCGTATGCACGTACATCCCCGCGGGGAGGGGAGGGGATGGATCTGAGAGGGAAAGCGTCATATTTCGTTACTCTGTATAACTTTCGTCTTCCTTCTTTATCTGAGATATGAAGGTTCTCCTACCTAATACCTGCGCATAATCGATGCCAGGTTATTGCCATACGAGATTAGATTTTCACAACTTTGTGTGATCCCATGGGGATTCCCAGGAGATCACCTCTCATTTTCAAAGTCATTTATCTTCCTACAAATTCAATGAAAACGTTCTGAATTTGTGCTGTGGGTATAATATGGTACTGGTTAAACATGTCTATAGTAGAAATAAGGAAAATCTCAAGATATCGAAATTTTCGATGAACCGCTGCTCGCGGGCCAGGGATTATCGAAAAATTGATAATCTTCGGTTCCATTTCTTTTGTCAAAAACATGCTTAGCAGTGCCGTAGTATATCTCCAGTACACTTTATAGCATTTTCATGGAGTTTTCAGAAAGATAAATAAACTTCGAAAATGAGAGGTGATCCCCTGGGGATCCCCAGGGGATCAGAGGAAATAGTGATTATCTAATCTTGTATGGCAGTAACCTGTCATCTATTATGCGTAGGTATCAGGGCATGAGAACCTTCATATCACAGTTGAAGAAGGAAGAAGAAAGGTATGCAGAGTAGCGAAACATGACGCTTCCCCTCTCAGATCCCGTCCCTTCCCCGCGGGGATGTACGTGCATACGGGCCTAAGTATGACTGAAGCTGATTAGAACTAATCATCATTTCAAACAGTCTCTGATACGTAACAAATAAGAAAACCTACCAACACAGCACAAACTGCTTCGAGCAGTCTCTTTGCAAAGGGGAAATCCATCATCACTAAACCACGATGGCCTCAGATGATTATCTGTAATTTTTAGCTCTCTAAACTTAGCATGAGATAACTATCATTGGCAGATGAGATGTTAAAAAAACATTTATATAAACCATTCATAACCAAAAAAATGAAAAAAATCAACTTTTGCTTAGAAAATTTAAGTACCACGGGATGTATTGTAGTTGGTATGAAAAGCGGTACGAACAATTGTACAAATCGAAAACACTGTGGCCTTTTTTATTGTTAAATAATCATGATCATAAAAATCACGCATTCTCTCATCACTTCTATGAAAAAGCGATGTATTCGGCTGTCTACGAACAATGATTCAGCTATACAATGTTTTGAAAAGTGCACAACCTCATAAACTTTACAAGAGAGCTTTGTAAAGATCAGACTGCTTTTACAGATACAGCAATACAAGCAAATAACAAAAATGTTTCGACCAAAATATCCCGCATGAAAATACTAGATAGTACACAATTGTTACATCCTTGTAAATACTTATTTATTTATTTATGCATTCAATGATGCGCCCAACGAACGTATTAATTCAACAAGGTTATCTTGATTAGAAACAAACAACTAGACAAACAATAAGCGCTGGTTTCCCAGAAACCTAAACTATACCGCAAAAATAGAACTTATAGCCCACTTTATAGGTATACAGATGTAGGTATAAGCGAACTGTTGCGAAGCGCCGATTGGAAGGAAGTCTTTATAGGGGGAAATCGGGAAATCAGGAAATCCGAAGAGCAATAAAGAGCAATAAATGACACTCTTTTTATACCGACGAAAAATGTTGATTCACTATTTCATTTAGGAGGAATTCGCAATTGACTCAGACGCTAGACATAACAAATGCACCTCAAAGTGATATGAATCACATCTTGGAATTTGTCAAGGCAATCATTTCGTTGCTATGAAGAATACGAAGTTATCGTCAGATAAACTCCCCGGGAAACTATTGAAATTTCTTACAAGTTCCGGATGACCTTTTGGATAGAGATGTGGCAAGATATATCAAGGCAAAAAACATGATACAAGCGATAAGTAAATACAAAAAATTACTGAAATTTGCTATAAAGTCTGATATCCATTTCTTTGTTGCTTCGTATATGTCGTGGAAAACGTTACTTTCTTTTATCTGGCTTTCGTCCTCTACATCTTTTTCCATTTGTAGGTTTTGATCGTTGACACAATTGAGTTTCCCTTGTAGTAGGAACGAGGAGCTCCCTCCTGAGCAGACGACTGTGCAGTTGGTAAAGACTGCGGATTCGTCGAAGTGAAATGTGAGAGAATTCATTTTTCCTTGTTTGGAGCGAGATGCTATTTGGAGTTGTCCAGCGCACGTGATATCTGCAGTTGTGCCTGTTTCGCTGCTGTAGCAGACCAGGTCTACTCCGGCTCCCAAGATGCAGGAGTAGCATCCTTGAATAATTGATGATTCGATTCTGCATTTTTCCACTGTTTGGATAGATCTGAGTTTGAAATTGTTCATGATCACTTGAACTTGAACTGAGGAACCGACATGGGAGTGTGCTTGGAAAGTACTGTTGACCTTTTTGATTGTGACGAGCTTGGTGACCAAGGGAAGAGTGTTTTGGTGCATGTATGGTTCCATGATTCCTTCGGCGCAGACGCAGCTGGTTTTCGATGTTCCGCTAGAGCAAGTGCATGTATTTGCTGCGAAACGACAGTTGAATCTTTTGGCATCATCAAACGATGGACACTGGAATTGCGCAGGAGTCTGTGGTATGAGTTGATTTGCTTGCACTTGCATTATTTGCGCGGTTCTTCTATCGTCCTCAATGAATGTTTTAGATAGTATGGGTAGTTGTGGCGTGTAATGGCTATGAGTGAGAATTTGATGTTGTTGATAGCTACGGCCTTTCCTGGATGTAAAACGACTTGATGTGTTTGGATGCTTTCTTGCTCTTGTAGTGTTACTTCGGCTGATACGGTAAGCTCCCATGTGGGACATCTGAATACCGTATAGATAGTATCGGATGTGGGTACTGCGAAGTACCGATAAAAGAGACAAGACGGTCTGCAGAAGAAACAACCGTCGCAACATTGACAACTTGGTGTGCAAAATGTGAAGCCTGGATGGTGGTTGGCTTTGTGACTGAGTTCTTCGATCTTGTCTGAAGTTTTCGTGTCGTCGCATACTCCGCTTTTACAACTTCCAGCCCAATAACATCTATGGGAAGATTCAGTCAGAAACTGGTGGTCGCGGGTGAAATATTTGATCTTCTTGTGGCAGATGTGATATATTCCATGGATACGAAATGTGAGCAGTCCCGTGGATTTGTTTTGATAGTTTCTCATTGATAAGCATACTTCTTGTCCAAGTGGTTGGAGTGCTAGTAAAGTTCCTTGATTGAAAAAACATGTTTCGTTCTCACCATCTTTGGAACATGAGTCAACTGTAGACGTCATCGTGACTACGTCCGAGCATGTTCTCACCAAATCGAAATGGAGAGAGAATGATACGATACTCACCAGGGTGAGGAGACGTTTAGTTGGTCGTTCTCGTCTTTTTTCGCGTTTTAGTCGTCGATACGGAGTGATCGGAGTTGACGTAGAATGGGTATTTGCTCGAAGTTTGAAGATTATCATGACTCTGGTGATTGCATGCCAAGCGAGTTTGAGGATTCGTAGAGGTATGCGGACTATTTGTCTTGTGAGAATCAGTAGTGGGATGATAGTCCAGTATGCCATTGCAATGATTACACACGACAAGAAGATAAGAATGACGTTCATGTAGTCCCAACATTGTGTATTGAACACGTATTCGAAGCAAAATGTGCAGTGTAGAATTTCACTTATTGGTTGAGCTGAGCAAGACAATGATGAGTTGTGGATTTGAATTCCGTCCGTCCATATTGTGATTGCTACCGAATACTTGAAGATGACAAGTTCAGTTGGGAACAAGATTGTCGTTTCAGATATGTGCTTGGCATAGATGCAGTATGAAGAGATGCATGCTTCAAAGGTGTCGATGATGGTTGACGAACGTATGTCTAAACCTCCTTTCGCACATGTTATGTGCAACTTGGTGTTTTTGGTATTGCTCTGTAGTGGATGTGGGTAATACTCGCGAAGTACTGTTCCCCAGGCTTTGATGGGAATCATGGAGTTTAGACCGTTAAGGTTATCGAAGTTGTACAAGGCGATTGGTTTGTCGTAAAGACAAAATTTCTTAACGTTTTGATCGCATTGCTGTTTCTCACAGAAGAATGAATTTCCTTTGAATGGTAGATCGTTGGTACTGATTTCTCCTTTTGTGTTGACACAGATGAAGTCGGTGGAGTCGATATAGTCTCTGATTTTCACATCAAGATTTGGTACTATTAGTTGAGTTTGGTCATACAGTTCAATCTGATTGAAGGATCCGATTCTTTTATGTGGATGGCATGAAGGAGTTGACTGAAAAGAGCATACTTCCGACGGTGTGAAGTTTCTTAGATGAGACGGGAAATCTGCCAAAGTCGAATGAGTTCTTCTGTGTCCAGTATAATGTGAGCAGAACTGAGACCACTGTGGACACTTACATTTAGCCCCACAAAGTTGTGTGTTGGATGTTTGTGCTGCTTGAATGTCTCCATCGGGACATTGTACCGGAAACCAACATAAATCTTCTCCTATGCTGGTTTTATAGCTTGCGACTGCTGCTCCCTGGCTTGCACAAGCAGTTGTATGCAGTATCCTTTTGGGAATGTTGATCTCTTTCGGGCATTTCGAATGTGCTGTGGCTTGCGATATGAGTGTAAATGCTACCAGTGCGAGCGACATGTACGTAAAGTTCAAGTGACGTTGTTGACGTGCTTTGGAGCGAGTTACCATTGGATGTATATTTGAAGGTTCCATTGCGGTTGTTGGTGTTGAGTGATTTTGGTTGTTTGCGTTTATCTCGAAGCGAGATATAAGATTTAGTGGACGTGTTATCACTCTTTTGGAGGGTAATCGAATTTGCACGGATGATCTTCTTCATAGCTTCTTGGGTGAGGATGAGATGACTGGTATCTTTCGCGAAGGCTCGTTAGGTATTCAGTTGACCATCTTTTCCAGAAGTTGTCCAAAAGGTGTAATCCAAATCGCCACTTTTGGATCAGATCGTCTCTAGTGGTGTATGTTGGTTTCCATTCATCATCTTTGTCGAGGAATCGTGGGGCTGAAAGGAGAGCTCTGGGGCGAATAAAATCTACCGGTCTTAGGGGTATGAAGTCAGGCTGTTCGTTGACATATGTCAAAGGTCTGCAGTTGCAAATTGCCTCGGCTTCTTTCGCGAGTGTGTTAAGGTCGTCAAACTGTGGTGTTTTGTTGTTCAGAGCGTGCTTGATGGTTTTGAATAGTCCTACCATACGTTCGTAGATGCCTCCTTGCCAGGGGCTAAAAGCCGGTATAAATTTGAACTGTATTTTGTTAGTATCACAATAGTCCATAACATCTCGTTCATGTCCATTTGTTGTGATTACATCACTCTGTGCTTTGGCGAATGCTGTGAACGTAGTGGCATTGTCACAGATGATTCTTCTTGGGTAACCTAGCAATGAATCGCCGTAGCGAATGAAGAAAGCAGTTGGACGAGAGACTTTTGAGGATGTCCACAGTGATGGCTCTGCAATTGAGACATGTCCATAATAGCACCCAACATTTTTGTATCAGAACGGTGTCATCCTTGTATTGAAATGGTCCAAGTATATCCATTCCGCTGTTTTCAAAAGGGTAGGTTGGTTGGTTCACTCGAATTTGTGGAAGAAGTGGAAAGTCGGGAAGCTTGAAGGATTTTGCTTTCAGTTTTCTGCAGTGGAAACAAAGCATGTTGATAGAGTGCTTCACTGTACTTCTTCCTTTGGGAATCCATACGACTTTTCGAAGTTCAATGAGTGTTTGCTCAGTTCCGCAATGAAGATTACTTTCATGTACGTGATGAATAAAAAGGGAAGTGATCCTGCTTTTTTTGGGAAGAAGTATAGGATTTGTGGTTTCTGCGGGTAGTGCGGAGTTCTGAATTCTTGTATGGACGCGATACAGATTGGTAGAGTTGCACCAAAACAGGTGCAATTGATGAGTGAGTTCTTCATTGGGTGGATATTCTAATTGAGCTAATCGATAAAGCACGATTTCTGCCTTGTTGCGAACTTGAAGATGGTTTCTGCCGAATATCTTGGCTGCTGTTGGTGACATTTGACATATGAAAGAGATGACGTAGGTCATTGTTTGAAGTAGGCGTTTCCATGTGCTGAATCTTTCACTTGCTATCACTAGGAGTGGACGTTAGGGAGTAGGCTGTGAAAGAAGTGTGATTTCTGGAAGATCAAAAGAAACGTTGTTGTCTTGCAACCAAGACGATTCTTCTTGTAGTAGAAATTGTGGTCCAGTCCACCATACTTGGTTCTCTAAAAGACTGTCGATGGTGCAGCCACGGCTAGCAACGTCAGCGGGATTAGCAAAGCCGGGTACATGGAGAAATGTTGCGTTAGGAGCAGCAGCTTTTATTGTACGGACTCTGTTGCGCACAAATGCAGGAAACTCTTTGTGGGTTCTCGTCCAATCGAGCGCTACTCTACTGTCGCACCAGATGAATTCTTTATCGATAGGGAGGTCGAGTTGGTTACGAAGATATTGAATAAGTTTTGCTCCTATTGTGAGTGCCATTAATTCCATTTCGGTATTGTTGTTTTTGGTTTCTTGGATGACAGTCGGGATTTG